GGGATTTCCCCCCGGACGGGGATTTGAATCCCAAAAAGCCGGACATGTCCGGGAAAATCCGGACGTATGGTAACCCTAGGTTGGATGGGCGGGGAGTTCTGAGGGGGGCAGTCAGGGGGCAGGGGCAAGGCTGTTTGGGGGGCACAGCCTTCCCTACCCGGCCCTCCATACAGTTTTGCACTCGGGCCAAAAAGTTTGCCCACCCCTGGTTTAGCTGAAGCTGTGGTGATGTGAAGTGCTGCTGCGTCATTGCTGTGGGCTGGGAGCGAACAGTGTCTTAACTGTAAAAGAATCCTATTTCTGCTCTGATTGGGAGGGGTGTGTGGTGAGGGCCACTTCCCCCCAGGGGAAATTTAAAATAGGGGCCAGACCCCTCCACTATGAACCCTGCCTTTTTACTAGCTACCCACAATACGTCTCCTACCTCCCCCACTCTCTCTTTACCTTCCCACCCCAGATTCCTGGTGCCTCTTCACCACATCCCCATTAGCAGCAGCAACAGTTTCCACAAAGCCCCTGGACTCCTGGGTACCCAAGTGTGGCTGAGGCTGCTGGGCTGGGATTCGAATCGCAGTCCCACCAGGGTAAATCAGGAGCGACTCCACTGAAGTCAGTGGAGTTACTCTAGATTACCCCCATGTGCCTGGCACTGAGTCGCCTTCTGATGGCTGGTATTTTTAGTAGCCCCGTATGAGATGAGTTGGTCTTTCCTCCGTCTTGTCCCTAGAGGACAAAGTACCAAACTCGTGGCACTAGCTGGCCCCCTTGTCATTGGTCTCAGCAGAGATCCCACGAAGTGATAGGCCGTGGAGGCTGAGCTCCCCACTTCCCCTAACAGGTCCCTCTAGATCTGGGCTGAGGCACGCTGGCGGTGAATGGTGCGGGGGAAGTCTGCAGGGCCACCACTCCTGATGCGCCAGTTGTGGGGAGGAACCGAAGATGGCTGTCTCCAGGGGGTCAGTCTGGAACGCAGCCCCATTACAGATGTTACTGAAAAGCCCCCTGATGTTTGAGTACCTATAGTGGCCGCTGCAGGAGGGAGAGCGAGAGAGAGAGAAGCATCTCCAGGAAGGATGATCCTCCACTTTAGATTAGTTTGGTGGATCTCAGTCTTTTCCAGGGCAGGACCCACCCTCCTCATCATTCTGAGTGAGGGCGACTCCCAGAGTCGCTTGCCTGGCTTCCCAACGGTGCTGCACTGGCATGGAGGCTGCAGGGTGTAGGGAGTGCAAATTGGGGCACTGGTGAGATGGCCTTTTGCACCCAGGGGGTAGGCTGTGAGGGGTTCCGCCTCTGTGCCGGGAAGCCCAGTGTGGGCGTGCCGGCTCTGGGAAGATCCCCTAACCCTCTCACTGGCCTTGCCCTCCCTTACAGAAGCAGGACCAGGATGACGATGCTGACGATGTGGAGATTGCCATCGAGAACACGGGGTTCATGGACGAGTTCTTCTCCGAGGTGAGGAGGAGGCGTGGCCCTGGGACAGGCCTCAGTCTCATTTACATTGTCCGTGTCCGTTCTCTGGGGAGAGGCAGCAAGGTGGGCTGGCAGATCTCCTTTTCCTGGGGAGCTCTTGGGACTAGAGATCCCCTCTCCTTTAGTGAACTGTGGTTCAGTGGATAGGGCACAGATCCGAGTGCTTCTCCCAGATCGGCCACTGGCTGGCTTGGTGACCTTGGGCAAATCCTGTCCCCTCTCTGTGCTTCAGTTTTCCCTCCCACCCTTTGTCTGTCTTGCCTATTTAGACTGAGACATGTTTGGGGCAGGGACTGTCTCTAAATGTCTGTACAGCCCCTAGCACCCTACGGCCTTGATCACAGTTCAGTGCTACTGTAATATAGCTAATAGTGATCTCTTGCGGTTTAGATTGAAGAAACCCGACAAAATATCGAGAAAATTGCAGAGAATGTGGAGGGGGCGAAAAAACTGTACAGTATCATCCTGTCCGCCCCCATCCCTGAGCAAAGTAAGTCTGAGCCTCCTCCTGGGCCTGAACAAGAGTGAACAGGTCACCTGCCTGGGATGGGTCAGTCCAGCTGGGGGGTGGATGGTGGATCTCTGCCGGGGGGTGGGTGGGCGGGCAGCAGGTGCTCTCCTGTCCCCAACTACTGCTGACTTGTGCTTTTGCAGAGACGAAAGACGACCTGGAGCAGCTCACGGCAGAGATAAAAAAAATAGCCAACAGCGTCCGAAACAAGCTTAAGAGTAAGAGACTGATTTCCCCCCTGGGCTGGCTGATTTGGAGCCTTCCTTTACTGTAGAGCCCTTCCTAGGGCTGACCATCCCCTGTCAATGCCCATCCATTGCTCATCTTCTTTCCTCCTCCTCAGGACTGCCTTTTCCACCCTGCACCCCACTGGGACTGCTTCTTGGAAATGACCCTTCCTTGCCAGGAGCTTTTCTCCTCCTAGTGGGGCGCTGGCTGGATGCTGGGACCTTTGGATCTTAATGCGCAGGTCTCTACTGCTTGCATTAAAAGACCCACCTCTGTTAGTCCAGCCTGTAGCAGGCTCATCCACCTCTGTGGCTCAGACACCACTAGCGGGGACAGAGTGCCACACAGAGTGGGCGTGGCTGCATCTGGTGCCTCCTAGTGCCTGGATAGGAAGGGGGTGCAGAAGGCCGAACCCACTGACTTGGCTAAGGAGGTGTGGGGGGCAGTAAGGGATTGAGCCCCTTTCTTAAGGAAAGAGGAGAACTCGAAGTTCGTGGGGTAGGGAAGCTGAGACGTGAGACTGTGCAGCTGGTCCAGCCCCCCCATTATTTCACCCCACTTGCCCGTGTCCCCAGGCATGGAGCGGAGCATTGAGCAGGATGAGGTCCAGTCGTCAGCGGATCTGCGGATACGGAAATCCCAGGTGAGCAGAGCACTCTCATTCCCACACTGCGATCCCTGTATCGACCTGCCCCTAGCCAGAATGGGTCCCAGAGGGAGCGGGCTGCACCCATAGAGAGCCCGGGTGGGGAGGGGACAAAGGTAGCGTCAGAGATGGCAGACTGTACCTCAGTCCTGGGTGGGGAGATGATACGTTACAGAGAACAAAAAGAGCAGTACATGGATCTTTGGCTTCATCTGAGGATCTCTGAGTGGTGGGCTCCTCAGTCCAACAGACAAAGGCAGAACTAGATCCAATGGCTGGAAGTTGATTTTGCACAAATTTAGACCAGAAATAAGATGCAAATTCTGTATTAGGAGGTAATTAACCATTAGAATGACTTTATCTAGGGCTGAGGTGAATTCTTCAGCCCTACACTTCTAGGAGTCTGTTGTTCAAAGTCAAGACCAGATGTTCTTCCAAACAATCTGCTCTAGCTCACCCAGAAGTTCTGGGCTTCATGGAGGATTCATTGGCTGAAATTTTCTGGCCTGTTATACAGGTTGAACTAGATAATTCCTTCAGACCTTAAGCGCTATAAAAGCACTATCCAGAGCATTATTATCCCTTTCATACAAATGAGTAAACTGAGGCACGGGCAAGTGACAGCATTTCCCCAACGCTGCAGTGGGTGCTCCTGTCAGAACCATCCAGGCTGTGTTTGGGGAAAGGGGAGGATAAGGAGGAGAGAGGGTATGGAGAGCAGGTAGGCTGTGCTGTGGTCAGATAGCTCCCCAAGCAGATGGGGCAGATGGCTATCCCAGCTGGAGAGGCAGTGCCTGTGAATCCACATTACTACAATATAGATCATACAGTGAACTGCTCGTCTCCCCCTTTCCCTCCCCCCAGCATTCTGTCCTTTCCCGGAAGTTTGTCGATGTGATGACCAAGTACAACGAGGCACAGGTCGACTTCCGAGAACGTAGCAAAGGGCGGATCCAGCGGCAGCTCGAGATCAGTATGTACCCTCCCCGCTCAGTGGACATGGCCCACAGGCAGCATATGGCCAGGGCCTGACCCTCCTCCCCAGCCCAAGGGGTGGTTGGATTAATTGCCCACAGGAATGGAAACTACCCCACTCCAGTTTGTGAGCCTGAGTTACTGCAGAGACCATAATTAGGGCCCTAGCAAATTCATGGCTGTGAAAAACGCGTCATGGACCGTGAAATCTGGTCTCCCCTGTGAAATCTGATCTTTTGTGTACTTTTCCCTATACTATACAGTGTTTCTTAGACTGGGGGTTCTGACCCAAAAGGGGGTTGCAAGACTGTTGTAGGGGCGGTCACAGTATTGCCACCCTTACTTCTGTGCTGCCTTCAGAGCTGGACTGCCAGAGAGCGCCGGCTGGGCTACCAGCTCTGAAGGCAGCACTGCAGCAGTGCAGAAGTAAGGGTGTGTGTGGAGCGTGCGGGGGGGGGGGGGGGGGGGGGCCTGGTTTTGGGGGGGGGGGGGGGGGGGGGTGTCACTTTTTTTGGGAGGGGGCGTCGTCATGGGCTTTATATTTTGCTGTTTTTAAATACATATTTGTTTTGTTACAACACTGAAATTTAAGATTTAAATATCTGACCGAGAAATTCAAGATTTAAAAAATGGTGTGACCGTGAAATTTACAAAAATGGATTGTGAATTTGGGAGAGCCCCAACCATAATCCTCCCATGATCCCCTCCCACCCAGGGTGTCTCAGTGCCCCCTGCTGGGAAGTGTGGGCTGGGCAGTTGTGGGATTCCTCCCTATCCCCCAGCTGTGTCTCTGCTGAATGTGGGGGAGGTTTAGAATCTGGGCTTGGGAGGCATGTCTCAGTTTGGAGGCCAGAGGGGTTCACACAAACACACCTGTCCCCAAGAGCAGCCAAAGTGAATCTCCCCCCTCTCTTCCCCCACCCCCCACAAGCCTTGCTGGTTCCGCCATTCATGCCCAGCGATTTGGTCTGATCTCTCCTCTCTTTCTCCCATGATAAAGCTGGGAAGAATACGACCGATGAGGAGCTGGAGGAGATGCTAGAGAGTGGAAACCCCTCAATATTCACATCTGGGGTGAGGACGCAGTGGGGACTGGGAGGAGATGGGGGAATGGAGGTGCATAAAGAGGAGGGACCTTGGAGCATATGATGGTTTAATAGTACCTAGCTCTTACAAAGCGCCTTCATCAGTAGATCTCAAAGCACTTATAGAATGGGAAATCTAGGGGGAGACACTGGGATGGGGGGGTGAGCAGTGGGAATTTGGGGGGATGGGCAGCGAGTGTGGGTGTCAGGATATGGGTGGTGGGGAGCAGCGTGACTCTGAGCACTGGGAATGGCAGGGTGTTAGCTCACAGCTCCTTAGCATTATCTGGGTTTGTGTGGGGTGGTAACCGACCCTGTCTGGCTCCGTTCCAGATCATGGATTCGCAGATCTCGAAGCAGGCACTGAGCGAGATCGAGGGGCGGCACAAGGACATTGTGCGGCTTGAGAGCAGCATCAAGGAGCTTCACGACATGTTCGTGGACATTGCCATGCTGGTGGAAAACCAGGTAACTGGGCAGAACAACCAATGAGGGGGTGGGGCGCTCTGGAGGGATAAGGACTGAGTGACTGAGCAACCGGGACAGGAAGGGGTAACCTAGCAACCTGGGGCAGGGAACAGAATAACCATGTAACCTGGGGCAGGGAACAGGGTAACCGAGTAACTAGGGGGTGGGGCTCTCAAGGGATAAGGACAGGGTAACCAAGCAACCAGGGGCAGGGAACAGGGTAACTCAGCAACGGGGATGAAGGTGACAGCTGTGTAACAGGAGGGGAAAGTGGGGTAAGCCTTGGTAACTGAGTAACCATGGGAGGAGACAGCATGATGACCATGTAACCTGGGAGTAGGGAAAAAAAGGATTGTACAAGACTGGGCAGGGTAAAAACCATGTAACCAAGCAATGCAGGGATGGGGGAAATGGAGGGACTGAGCAGCCAAACTGGGAATTGGAATGGGTAACTAAGCAACTGAACACCGGTGCCTTCTAGCAGCCAGGGATTTTCTGTTGGTGGTACCTCGGATGTGGGAGCTGGGTGGGAGTGAGTTTGCGATCTTGGTGACATGGCTGATGTCATGGAGACCCAGAGGTCTGTCGTCCTGTCCCAGTGCTCAGTGCCTGGCTTTCCTTCGACCCCACAGAGCTCCTGCAGCCAGAGCCCAATCCCTGCTCTGTCTCTCCCTGGGGGAAAGCCCCCCATTTCAGTCTCCTGAGGCCCCTGCATTGTGGAGTGCAGCCACCTCTCACTGCAACTTAGGCATCAGTGTCTATCTCTGAGGCCCCCTTTCTGTTTTCTACCCTCAATGCAATGCCGAGGAGGCGGCGTGTGAGTCGGGGAACGGTGAGTATGCCTCTTTCCTGTCATCAGACCCAGGGAGAGGCGGTGGATTGACCCTGAAGCCCTACAACCCAATGGCAACCCCTCTGTGCCCAGAAGGGCGGTGGCGGTGGGAATGACTGCCTTGCTCACCTGAGCAGAGGGGGAGACCTCCAAGGGCCAGGCTGGGATCTCGTGATGGGAGGAACATGTGCATGGTGGGAGGTGCGGTGGGTGTTTTAGATGTCTGAGTTTCCTCTCTTCCTGCTCCCCTGACAGGGCGGGGTCCTAGATAACATAGAGCTGAACATGATGCATGCGGTAGACCACATAGAGAAAGCGCGTGATGAGACCAAAAAGGCTCTGGTATACAAGAAAAAGGCACACAAGGTGAGTCCCCCAAGCCCCAATCTGTGCTCAGGCCCCCTTGCTGGCTCTCTTGCTCTCTTCTGCCTCCCTGCCACTTCCGCCGCTCTCTGCCGCTCCCGCTATCTCTCTCTTCCTCCGCAAGGGAGCCATGATCGACCGCATAGAGACCAACATGGACCAGTCGGTGGGCTTTGTGGAACGGGCCGTGGCTGACACCAAAAAGGCTGTGAAATACCAGAGCGAGGCCAGAAGGGTGAGAACGACCAATCACAGCCCCATCCAGTCTCCACCTCCTGCCAATCAATGGTCCCGTCTCACCCTTCTCAGATGCCATCCAATCTTGAATGATCCCACCAACCAAAACCCCACCCCATCTAGTCTCCCATCCCACCACCAGTCAAAGCCCCCATCTCACCCTTCTCAGATCCATCCAATCATGACCCATCCTATAAACCAAAGCCCCACCCCATCACCTCGACACCACCAATCACAGCTCCCTGTCCAGTCCCCATGCATGTCAATCAAAGGTTCCCATCTCACTCTTCTGTCACCCATCCAACCATGACCCATCCCATCAACCAAAGCCTCACTGCATCCAGCACCCACCCACCAGTCAAAGTCCTTTTCTCATTCCACCCCCTCAGACCCCCCCACACCCACCTCCCAAAATCTTCAGTCCCCTCCAGTCATCCTCCTCCATCCCACCCCTCTCTGACCTTGCTGGTCTCCATCCCTCCACCCCATCCCTGTTCCAGCCCCCTCCCTGTTGGGAAAGGACCAATGGCTCTCAAAGGTATTATGATTTCCAGGGGAGTAAGCCACCTGAATACTTTTTTGAGCACCTGGGCCAATGGGTCTAGCTGGCAAAGGTCCAGAGCAAATCCAGGGGCCCCGGTGACCCCTTGGTTTCTCAGTAATATTTCCCCATCCCTTGCTCCAGCTTCCTGTGCTCTTCTTTCACAGCCTTCTCCTCCTCCCTCACTTGTCCCCCACAGCCCGGACACTGAGCCCCTCCATGTACGACGTGCCATGCTGCATCCCTCTCCGAGGTAACTGCTTGGGCTGTCTCCCTGCTTCATTTCGCTAGCTCCGGGCTCCTCCCTGGCCCTTCCTTCTTCTCTGTACGTCTTGATAAATGTGGTTATGAGCCAGGCTCGGTCCCCAGAGCTCCTGCACTGTTCCCTAAAGTGCCTTCAAGGGGAGGGGGGAGGCTGAGAACTTCCCCGCAGCCCACACCTCTACACCATTACCTATAGCACCCCCTGCTGACAGGAGTCAATGCTGGAGTAACTTGAGCTCCCCCTTCAGTGCCCCCTGCTGGGAGAGGCTGGGACTGGAGTAGCAGGGAGCTCCCCCCACAGCCAGCAGTCCTGCCCGGCTATCTACAGCACCCCATGCTAGGAGAGGCTGGGAGTACCTCTCTGCTCACCATTCCCAATAGTACCCCCAATTGAGGGAGGCTAGGATTGGAGTAGCTGTGTGCTCCCAGTGCCTTTATGCCATTCCCTGCAGCATCCCTAGCTGGAGAAGGCTGGGACTGGATTAAATTAAGAGGGGGACAAAAATTAAGAAGCCTAGAAATGCATATGGTCTGATTTTTTTTTTTTTTTTTTTAATCTGAAAGATTCTGGTGGGGAATATTTTTGAGGTGTATGCTGCCTTAAAGGGGTGGCTGAAATCAGTGCTCTGCAGCTCTGAAATAGCTGTCTCTTAAAGGGACACGTGCAGGGGGAGCCATATCTGTTTTTCTCATTTGCTGTTGCATTGCTGTTTATAGTTTTATCCTTTTTTTGTTTTTGTCCCCTCCTCCAGAAAATGATAATTATCATTGTGGTAGTGGTTGTCTTGCTCGCAATAGTAGCTCTGATTATTGGACTTTCCGTAGGGCTCAAGTAAAGCTAGCCCCCAGGGTTGCTGGCTCTGAACTGTAAGTAGTGTGGGGAAATGTGGGGGTTTCCTGGGGCGCTGGCTCGGTGGGGTGGCAGTCAAGCAAAGGTTGGGAGTGACTTGAACTTATTGTTGCTTGCTTGCCCAGGAGAGTTCAGAACCTCTCTGAGTTGGGTATGTATTGGTGGGTGCCTTGGATATCGGGTGTGGTTTTGCTCCTCATACCTGGAGACCAACCCTGCCTTGGGCCAAAAATAAAATGTATTCTCACTAGTGTCAGTTGGATCTATCCTGGGTGTTGTATCCACAACCTTGTCTATGCATTGGGTTCTGTGTTCTAGTTTCTTGCTGCTGGCTTTGGGTTCTAGACTCTAGACACTGTGCTTTGTGTTCTGGGCTATGTGGGTTCTGGCTTTGGGTTCTGTGCTGTGAGCTCTTGGTTATGGTTTTGGGTTCTAGACTAGCTACTGTGCTTTTGGTTCTGGCTTCGGGTTCTAGACTATGTGCTGTACTTTGGATTCTAGCCTCTGGGCTCTGTGCTTTGGGCTGTAGATTCTTGGCTCTAGCTTTGGGTTCTGTGCTTTGCAGCTGAGCTTTGCCTTCAATCTCTTACATTTTTAACTCTTGCCTCGGCACTGGGGATGTGGCAGGCGAGATGGTGTTTGCAGAAGAGGGGACGGTGTAAGGAGCATGACTTGGGAAGCGGGGGAGCATGATTTCTCAAGCTTCTAGAGTGGGGAGGATAGTTCTGTGGATGTGGCCCCAGTGAAGGCAGCTGCTAGAGTCTGCTGCAAAGCAGGCACCTGTGCTGTTTTTACAGGGCTCACTCACAGCTCTCTGGATCTCTGCAGACTCAAAGAGTGCAGGGTAGGCCCTTGTGCACAAAGGGATCTGAAGGGTTAATTCTGGTCTGCTCTCCATTCCTTACCTTGGGGGGGAGGGAGGGGGAAGAGGGAAAAAGAAGGCGGAACTCTTCCAAGCTCCGCCCCATGAGTCACCAAAACCAGACCCCCTCAGATTGTGCAGATAATCAAAATAGGGGTGTGATGTTGCTTGGCCCCTCCTGGGCTGGGGTTGTTTGACTGTCCCCCTGGGCTTGACCAAAGTGCTTGGGCTGATTGCGGGGGAGGGAAATGTGGCATTTCCCAAACACCACCCGCCTGTGGCACCAAAATCATTGGGGAACTGTGCCAATCTGTGACCCTCCCTCCCCGTTCTCAGATGAGCCATGACCCACACAGCTAACAAAACGGCCATTTAATTGACCCTCACGAGCGGGGCAGTTCACACTTCTGAGAGTTGTTCCAGGCTCCCTCCGCTCACTTACACTTGAGTCACGGTTTTGCAATTTCCTCTGCAAGCATGGTTTTGGAGACACCATCATGCAGCATATGGGTGCGTATGCTGGCTGTTTCTGAGCCCCACAGCGGGGTCATTGGCCCATCTGCAGAGATCGTTTCCCCCTCTCTAGCTGTCTGGGCCCAGGATCTGTTAATGTTTAGATGTCAGTGATTATGTTTAATATTACCCTGCTGGCCTGCCCTCAGATGTGAATTGATTTCTCCCTTGTTCCTTCAATTTCTCCAGACACTCCTGATCTTGGTGGTGAGCTTTTTCCCCCGTGATCCTCCTCGTGTCCCACACGCTGACCTCCCGCTCCCCCTGCCTTCCCTGGACCTGCTAATCACAGCCTGCCCTCTGGGCTCTGCTGTGAATCATTTCCCTTTTGGGTGGAGCTTTTCCCAATAGCACTTCTTGGGAGAACTGCCAGCCCATTCATCAGCTAGCTGACGCATCCCTCCTGGAGGATCTGAGCTTGCTTCGCCATGTCCAGGAGGTAACTGTCTCCTGCACCACTGATGCACTTGAGAGAAGCTGCCATCAAGCCTTCCTCTTCTCCCCTCCTCTCCGAATCCACAACCACCAACCCCAGTTCCTCCTCCTGATGTCATTTCGGTCAGATTTCGTTTCCTGGCGGGATTCTCACCAATGGTAGCAGAGCCTTAAAGGAATGTCCAGGACTGTGTTTCCTACCTCACTGGCCTGTCTTGTTTTCATCTTTCTTAGGGGGAATTTTTTAATTGTTTGAAATCTTTATTGAGGGAGGCCAGGGAATGTAAGAACTACCCCTCTGAATTGCTCCAGCCAGGACAGGGAGTGAGAGATCAGGGCTCGGGAGCTCACCTGGGTCGGCTGTGTGGCATATTGGACACTAACGGAGGCTGGACTCTGCAGTGCTCCCAGGACCTGCCAACCCCAAGGAGAGTGAGCAGATGGGCCTGATCTTGAATCTCCTGTGTAGCAATGCACTAAACCTATGGCACCGGAATCCGCAGCACTCCCAAGCTGCTTTGACACCAGGATTAACAAGGGACGTAGGTCAAACCAACAGGGATAGACTTGGCAGCGTCCTCAACTTTGCCAACCCCAGAATTAGGGACAGGATGTGGAAGCAAAGCAGAGCAGGATATGTGGGCACTGACCTCAGTGCACTAGGTGGGCACTGACCTCAGTGCACTAGGGTAACAGGGCTGGGACTGAAACGTGGGTCTGTGGCAGAGCACCGGGACGCATGAGCACTCTGAGCTCAGTGCCGAGTAAAAGCCCAGCGGAGCATGGGCCGCTTCTCTTGTTAATCCCTTCCTGAGAGGCGGGTGCCTGTGTACGGAAGGAGTTGCCTGCAAGCCCTGTCTCGTGTGATCCCTGTTTGCTAAGAACTGGGAGGAATCGAAACCTCTGTTTGCTTTGAAGTGTGAACCTTTGCGACTGGAGTTTCCACCTACTTGTTTGTTCTAAGCACAAAAATAATCCCATTGGCTTCTGGCACCCAACCCAAAGCCCAGGCTCTGATACTCCCTGTGGTTGGTTTGCAGGGCTGGGGCTCTTGGAAACTTTAGGTTGGGTGACATATTCTGTTAAATAGTGATCAGTGACTCCTGGGCCGCAAATCTTAGCACTGACCGTGTCTGATCCTTGCTGGGGGCTTCTCCTTTGGTTATGGGACCAGTGGGTATAGCTGCCCACCTCTGATGGGGATATAATTTTAGTGTGTGTGTGTGTGTGTGTGTGTGTCTGCATGTATGTTTAATGGTCTGTTTACTCAGGGCTAGTTGAGTTTTCATGGATGTTGTTTTAAATGTGCCTGGATCAGGAGTCCTTGTGTGTATTTATTATTCTTACCAGCCAGTCCCTGAATGTCTGCATTTGTCACAGAAATCAGGGTGGCCTGTTTTTACTGGTGTGATGTGGGTTTGGGTGTGCTCCACCCGAGTTGGGCATGACCAACAGCTGTATGACAGCCGTTTGGTGGCCTTGGTGGGAAAGGGGGATTAAGATCTTGGGCCCCATTCCCAGTGGACAGATCTCTGGATCGCAGAAATGCCATCACACCAATCGGGCTCCCTGCTTGGAAGCCTCAGTAGAGAAGCTAAGGACTGAATCAGTGGTGATCTTCCCAGGGCAGAGGGGTGGGGGAAGCCTACCCATGTTGTGCCTGCTTGGAGGATAAACAGGGCCCAAGGGCTATACTAAATTCACTTGACAAATGTCCTCTCCCCTTGTTGAAGGATAAGGGATGACAGCCCTTGTTAGTCAGGATGGGGGATTCTTGTCCGTGAAGGGAGCTAAACTCCCTGCCCTAGCAGCATCTGGCTGGTCCAGGTGCACACTTCCACCCCCACCATCCTTCCTGATGTGCTAGGGGCTGCACATCTCTTAGACCCACTCAGCACTCACCAGCTTGATGCCCCATGACCCACTCTCCTGATGTAGGACTGCACTTGGCCATTACCCCTTGGTGAACAGAGCTGGGAGGAAGTTCCCATTTGTCTTCTCCTTCTCTAGGTCTTGATGTCTGTGATTTTCTAGGTAGTGGGTATGGAGCATGCTGCCTGGGCAGGGTTGCCATTGCAGCCCTGAGATGCCCCTGAAACTCCCCAGAGCTCTGTAGACAGGGGAAATGTCATTGTTTCACCAAGTGAGGGTATTGGCTTATGTGTGTCTTTTTTCTTTTTTTTTTTTTTTTAACTTTGATTTATTTTTAATTTAAAAAAGTAAATAAATGAATTTACATTTGATCACGAACAGCTCTCGCCTGCGTTGTGTTCCCTGCATGAGCCGCCGCTGCCTAAATGCAACATCCAGCTATAGCTACCCTAGCTGTTCTTGGCTGGTTCGAGGCTGGGAGGCAGGGGTGCTGTCTCCTTGGCCTGCATCTCTCATGGTAGAGAAAGACAGGACTTGGCTGGAATGAATGGCAGTAATAATTCATAACTAGCTCAGGTCCTCAGTAGGTCTCAAAACGAGGTCAGTATCACTACCCACATTTTACAGATGGGGAAATTGAGGCACAGATAGGGGAAGTGACTTGCCCAGTGGCTGAGCCTGGAATAGAGCCTAGGGCTCCTGAGTCCCAGTCCAGTGCTCTAGCCACTAGGCCACCCTCCTCCCAGTGTAAAGGAGACTTTATTAGCAGGGCTGCCAGATGTGGACAGATGCCATGGTTCTCTCTGGCTCACCAGCTCCCAGCCTGAGTAATGCAACCTGTGCTGCCCAATGCACCGCGCAGGGGCCAAGTCCTGGCCTAGAAGAGACTGCTCCATGCAAACATTGGGATACATCTGTTCAGAATGCTCCTGGCTGGAATCTGTTGCTCTGCTCAGCCTCAGCCCTGCCCGAATTATCCAACCCATGGCAAGAGTCAAGGCTGAGTAAAGCAACAGATGGGGAAAGGCAGTAGATACAGTGACCTGCCCAACAAAGGGTTAATGATAGCACCGTTTGGAATTAAATAGCCTCACAACAGCAGCACTGCCTTGGGGATGAGACTGGGACTTTGAGCCTCCAGCGCTGGGCTGAGAACTGCTTTCACTTGACTCACTGACATTTAAAGAGACAGCTCCTCTTTCAGAATAGCAGCAGTGACCAGGTTTGGCTGCAAAGGAAGGAGCTTTGTTTATAATCTCCATGCCACCTGGCTCCGCTGATGAACCTTGGGGAGGTGAAAGGGTGAGAGAACCCCCCCACCCACCCAGGCTGGCCTGTTGTTCCAAGTCTCCAGAAGAGCCTCTCCTCTCCACTTCACCCACGTGGATCAGAAAACTTGGCTGGGGTTTCTCCTCCGCTGCTGTGCAGTATCCAGTGCTTCTGGTAAGATGAGATAACGGGTGTTGTGTCTTTTCCTTGGGGGCATGACATTCTGCATGGCTGTATGTGTGGGGCAGGCTAGTTCCTATTTAGCTATTCATGTGGCCCCTGTAATGATGGCATCAGAGCACATGGCTGGAGTTTGCTTTTTCTGCATGGCACGTGAGTTGAGGGGAAGGGAAATGAGCTCACTAAGCAATCATTTCCCACGAGAGCCACCAGCACCAAGGATAAAACTTTTTCTGTTCTCTGTGAAAGAAAAGCCCTACTCCCTCCCTCCACATCTCCGTCCTACTACCCATGGATCCCTTTCCTCTTTTCCAGCCCAAAGTGATGGCCCCCCTTCCTCTGCTCTTTGTGACACATGGAGGATGGGTGACCCTTCCCTCTCCTCTCACTTCCATTTATAGTTCACTGTAAGCCTGCTGCATGTACTGTGTGTTATTTACATTTCTCTCTCTCGCCGAGCAGAAGAAGATCATGATCATGATCTGTTGTATCATCCTGGCCATCATCCTGGCTTCCACCATTGGGGGCATCTTCGCCTGAGTGCCCATCTCCTGCCCTCCCCCACCACAGGTGAGCCAGATGTAGCGGTGCGATGGGTCAGCAGGGTGGGAGCTGGTGTTTGGTTCAGTTAGTATTTGTACTTCTGGGTTGTGTTCCCTGTACTGTGATTGCTTTATGCCCTTATTCTGGATGGGGGGAAAGAGGGGTTTAGACTGGCAGCCTGCTAGGTGTCTAGCTGCTGTATTCAGCATCTAAGGAAAGGAAAGTTGAGGAGCATGCAGGAAGTGCCATTTAGGAACATAACTGCCAAGCCTAAGGGATGATCAAGGGGACAATGTCAAAAAGAACAAGGGATGGTAGGTTACTGACAGAAAAGGGGACTGTGAGGTAGATGGAATTGCAAGATCCATCTGTCCTTTCTCCTTTGGTGTCTCTCTTGCTCTGATTTTTCAGATGGATTTGCAGATGGCCTTTCACCGTTCTTCCACCCTGCACCCTGGTGCCACCCGTCAAATGTTCTTTCCCATCTGGATTTCTCACCAGCTCTACCTCCTCCTCTTTATGGAGAAGTCACAGGCCTGGCCAGGGCCCTATCTGTCAGATATTCTCAGAGCGTTCCTGGCTGGAGGGGCAGAGGAAGCCGGAATAGAACAGGGAGGATGGGCCGCAAAGACAAAACCAAACAAGACACCATGGGGATGATGCTAGCTGACACTAAGGGAAGTTCATCTTCCAATGTAACCATTTTCAGACTCCACGTTTCTTGGCTGTTTAAAGTGCTTCTAAATATCAACCTTTTAGTTCAACTCTGTTCTTAGTCCTAGTGGCTCCTTCTGCCCACTCGTGTGTGGAGACTGACTAGCCAGCAGAGGACATCCATTCAATGGAATGTGTATGCTCAGCACAAATTTACTGAAGGATGGGGAATGGCACAGTCCTGCCTCTGTTGCTCTGGGAGACTCAGTTGTCCTCCTTGGTGGACAGGGATTAAAGACCGCATCTGACATTGTAACTGTCAGTACATCAAAAGCGTGATCAGGCACTGAACTGTCAGACCATCTTTCCCCGGATGAGCAACATAGCTGTTTTCACTCTGATTCTTGCGACCCCTATTTCTCTGGCTCTTTCCCAGTCCACTCCTGCTGCTGAGGGTGGGAATCAGAACATGCTTGACCTGAATCACTGATACTTGGAAGGCAGTTAGGCCCTTCACTCACTCAGCTAGGGTCTCTAAGGGTACATCTTCACTACCCGCCAGATTGGCGGGTAGTAATCAATCCATCGGGGATTGATTTATCGCGTCTCATCTAGACACGATAAATTGATCCCTGAACGCGCTCCCCGTCGACTCCAGAACTCCACCAGGGCGAGAGGCGGAAGGGGAGTCGACGGGGGAGCTGCGGCAATCGATCCCGTGCCGTGAGGACGCGAGGTAAGTCTATCTAAGATACGTCGCCTTCAGTTACGCTATTCTCGTAGCTGAAGCTGCGTATCTTAAATCGATTTCCCCCCCTCCCCCCCAGTCTAGACCAGCCCTTAAGTCACAAAATAGACTGTATTCCCTTGTTTAGCTGTGGGACAGTCTCATTTATCCTACAGAAAAATCTTTCACCTGAAAGTTTGTCACTTATTTTGAACCCCCAAACTGTGTCAACTTGAGCGTATTTGTTGTGTTTTCCCCCCTCTCCTCGGATAAATCATTTCTGCAGTAGGATGCTGTCACGCCATACATCTCCTGATGCTTCTATTCCTTTGGGTCATTGTCTATCCACATAACGAAAGCTCTAAGGTTGCTTTCCCCTACATTACTTGTACATGAGCCAGTCACTAGTGAGAGAAT